AGAGCTTAGAACATATATTTTAAGGTAGGCGGCGCATATACGTTGTAGATGTCCATGGGCTCTAGTAACCACTTAACACCAGGTGGGCTGTGAGCTCGTCCACCCATCTAAGCAATAAAAGAAAAAAAATATGACCGGACAAACGACCTGAGAATAAGAACACGATCAAATCTTAGGTTTAATCGGTAAAGGTAATATAAAAGAATGGAACAATCTGAAAAGTTGCCATAACTTAAACGTGGTAGTGGTAAAGTTGGTGTTAAACAAATTGTAGTAGACAAAGTATGCAGTGAGATCAGCACCCGCATTGGAACGGCTCCAACTATTCACTATACGCTTTCGACGTAAAAATGTGGCTCTGAAAACAATTTAACAAATTCGTACATTCTTTACAGTGTGACCGTGTTATATATTTACATCATCATTTACCCGATTTATATGGAAACAAAATATTGCCCTGTCCAAGTATCAATATGTCTTGTAAACGTTTTGCTTTTTTAATACTTTTTTTTAAGAACCTTTTAAAAATTACCAAATATGCCCAGACGGATGCACTTTCCAAGTACCTTTCAGGACTCCTGGTAGTTACTCTAACAGTAGTACAATCTAACTATATTTTTAAATGAATAACAATTTTTAGCAACGTCAAAAAAGAAACAAATTTATTGAGACCTAAAATAAAAATTTCCAACACTTTGCAATATCTTCGAGTATTGGCAACAGTACACGTTATCAAATAAATAAGAGAGAGAGACAAGAAACTGACAGGAAATATACTTTATTGTACACTAACAATTGTAAAAAAAAACAGTCAATAAAAATAATAAAATAACAATCGCCGTTGTAACTTAGGTTTTTTTTTATTCCTTAGACGAGCTCACAGCCCACTTTTGTGTTAAGTGGTTACTGGAGCCCATAGACATCTATGCGCCACCCACCTTGGATATAAGGTCTCTGTATAGTTACAACGGCTGCCCCACCCCTTTTTTTTTATAGCCCTTGTAGGCAGACGAGCATACGGCCCACCTGATGGTGAGTGGTTACCGTCGCCCATGGACTTCAGCAATGCCAGGGGCAGAGCCAAGCCGCTGCCTACCCTTCAAACCGAAACGCATTACTGCTTCACGGCAGAAATAGGCAGGGTGGTGGTACCTAACCGTGCGGACTCACAAGAGGTCCTACCACCAGTAGCCAAAATTTTGAATATTCAATAAAATACATAAAAATATACTTAATATTTTATTTAAAATATTGTTTACTAATAAATTCGAATCCCTAGGGAAATTCATTCGTATAAATCTTCAAATTTATTTCCCTATTTTGGCATCGCTCGTAGTGCTACTTACTACGTTTTCGTCAAAAAATTTAAATTCAAAACGCGAACTGCGACGATCAAAAAAACACCAACGCGGTGTGCTGAATTTTATAGGTTCCAGTTGTGGAATATCCTCGTATTGTGGTCGAGCAGCCAGTCCAGTCAGTGGTCACGTTGCGGAGAGTCCGAGTGGCCGCACTGCGGGTTCAACGTTTTGTTTCCACGACGCTACACATCGAACATTCTTAATCATTTAATTTTTAGTTTTTCTTAGATATTTAATTGGGGCTAAATGGAATCTATAACTAGTCAGGTCATAAGTATTATCACACATTACAAGACATCCTTGGTTAAGGCAGCCGCCGATATTGACATGGACCTCGTTCGTGCTGCGATAGACGACTGGCCGCGCAGATTGAAGGCCTGTATTCAAAATCACGGAAGTCATTTTGAATAAACTTTAGTGTCATAAGAATCTATGTTTTGTTAAGTTCATTTTGGTATATGAATGGTTACATAATGAATAAACTTGTTTCAATTATTTTACATTGAACATGTGACAGAATTTATGACCTGACTAGGTATATATAAAAATTAATTGCTGTTCGTTAGTCTCGCTAAAACTCGAGAACGGCTGAACCGATTTGGCTAATTTTGGTCTTGAATTATATGTGGAAGTCCAGAGAAGGTTTAAAATGTTTGATAAATATGAAAATGCTCGGAATTAAATAAAAACAACAATTTTGTTTTTCCTTTGATGTGTCCCCCGTCGGACGGATTCCTTTTATTTGTTTTAAGTTTATTTTATACAAAAGTTTAAGTCTTTTATTTATCGATTGAGGCACTACGAAGTCTACCGGGTCAGCTAGTAGGTATATAATTTTTCTGATGAAAATCGTTCTCTGCTGATCTTCAGCAATGACTTGCACGAATGACATCGTGTAATAAAGTACTTACCGGCGGTAGGACGTCTTGTGAGTCCGCACGGGTAGCTACCACCACTCTGCCTATTGCAGCCTATTAGTAATGCGTTTCGGTTTGAAGGGTGAGGCAGCCGTAGTTATATGAGACCTTTAGACTCATGTCTCAATGTGGGTGGCGGCATTTACGTTGTAGATGTAAAAAAAAGATCAAATACGATAGGTAACAATTTTTTTTCCAAATGAACTGGTGATGGGGCGTTTTGTTAGCTCACACGGGTAGTTTTTGACGGCCCTTCGAAGTTTTCATTATCACTAATGTTTCTCGCACACCCTATATATCAAGCATCAAGTACAGGGTGGCCCATAAGTCCTTTGATATGAAAAAAAATTTATTAAAATAAAACTAATTACATTATGAATTAAATTTTTATTTACATAAAAAGCTTAAAAAACGGGAATTATTTTTTGAAAATAACATCTCCTAAATGTAATCCGTTGCGATCACGGCACTCTTGCAAACGACGTCTAAAATTGTCGATGACTGCGCGGCACGTCACTGCTGAAATGCTTGTCATTTCTCTGCGGATGTTTTCTTTTAGGGCCTCAATTGACCGCGGGTTTGTGTCGTATACTTTAGCCTTAAGGTAGCCCCACAAAAAAAAATCCATCGGGGTCAGATCTGGACTACGTGGAGGCCAGGAAATGTCTCCTCTCTTAGAGATAACTTTGCCAGGAAAAAGTTGACGGATAACGGGCATAGCAGTGTTAGAGGTGTGAGAAGTGGCCCCATCCTGTTGAAACCACGTCCTGGCATTAAAGCCTGAAAAGTTTTGCAATTCTGGTATGAAAAACTCTTCGATCATAGCCACATATCGCTCCGACGTAACAGTAACTGCGCGCCCTCTGCCATCCTCAAAGAAGTAAGGCCCTAGGATACCATGGGCTGACATAGCGGCCCAAACAGTCACTTTCGGACTATGTAAGGGCTTCTGATGCTTAAGTTTTGGATTGATGGGGCTCCAATAGCGGCAATTTTGTTTACTAACATGCCCGTTAAGATGGAAATGAGCCTCGTCAGAGAACATTATGTTATTGAAGGAAGTAAACCGATTCAACATTTCATTCGCATAATTTTGTCTTTGAATACCGTCAGTTTCCTTTAATTCTTGAACCAACTGAATTTTGTAAGGGTGCATATGTAAATCTTTCTTCAAAATCCGTTGTAACGATGTCCTGGATACGTTTAATGCTCTGGCGCGCTTACGAGTTGACTGTGTCGGATTTTCGCGAATAGACTGTGTCACTGTGTCTATGTTTTGTTCCGTACGTGACGTCCTTGGGCGACCCAACCGCGGTTTATCTAACGTCGAACCGGTCTCCTCGAACTTAGCAACCCAGTTCTTAATCGTTTGAAGAGTTGGAGTGTCGTCAAAGTTGTGTAAACCTTTGTGTTCTCGAAATTTACGCCGCGCAACGGTTGCCGAATTGTCGTTTTTATAAAACTCGCGCACACAAAACGCACGGTCCGCTCCGGTAAAACGCTCCATCGCGACTAAATTCCCAGAAACCGAAGTTACTCCCCCCGCTTCCCCTGCACCGCTCACGCGCGCCCTGTTCGTTTTATTCAAATTTTACTTTTCAAAGGACTTATGGGCCACCCTGTATTATCAAAAGCAAAAATTGGTGCGTGTGCAACTTGGTGCACGTGAAAGAAGTGAAACTTCATTTGCGGTCAGTAGTAGTTTGGTTTTCTTAGTTCTTCGTACGCAAATCAAATTCCTCTTGTAATAGGGAATGCTATGTTTAAGAGAAACGACTCAGCTCGCTTTGGCCTTTCCCTCTCATCACGGTCGAGTGGTTCGCGAGACGCTCTGTCTATTTTCTCACTCTCACTCTTAAATTGTATCTTTTCTATCTAGCCATAACGTATCTGTCGCGAGTTAAATTTCACGCTCAACGCGTCTAAAGAAGTTTCACTTCAAAAATATTCAACTCTTTTTTTATACATAGTTATAATATTGGTATAGAATATGTGACACAATCCACGTCATTACGGATCCTCCCGATCCATTAACGGTGCTTTTAGGTACCACACGCACCGGTCACCGTCCTTGTCGAACCCGTCGCTTGCGACGAAGGGTTCGACGAGCGAATTAACCCATAGACACAGTCCACTGAGTTTCTCGCCGGATCTTCTCAGTGGGTCGCGTTTCCAATCCGGTGGTAGATTCTGCGAAGCACTGCTCTTGCTAGGGCCGGTGTGAGCATCACTCTGGCATAAGCCCTATGAGCTCACCTACTAATTAAGGTTACGCTGAAATAGCCTCTCAAGGCTATCAGCTTAGGGAGCAAAAAAAGATGTGTGGTGTCGTGGGACACCGGATAGAAACAAAGTTCCTTGTTATAAAAATATTAATTTTAAATTCTATTCGAGGTATAAAGAAAATAAAATTGGAGGTTTCGCAACAACCCAAGGTCATTCGGTAACGTGCGAACTTATTGTGGCACACTTCATTCTCGTTTGTTTGCATAAGAGTTAGTGTATTGCGCAAACGAACGCTCTGAGATCGTGGTCAATGAATGATAAAAAAATATGTTATTTTTTGTACGTTATTACAAAATGAAGTCGTACACTGTGTGCATTACTAATAAAAATCTTACGTTACGGACGTTTTTTCCGGTAAGGGTACCTCTCCGCATCGTCCCATAAGGAACATCGTTCAAAAAAAAAAGGGATACGATCCTATGTTTGTTTGTTTCAGTGATGGGGCGTGGTGTGCGGTCGAGACGCAGGAGAGCGTCACGGTGTCGGGACGCGTGGTGGCAGGCGGCGTAGCGCGGCGCGGTGGCGGGTGCGCGCGCGGCGGCGCATGCACGCCACCGGCCACACGGACCGCTCGGGCGGCGGCGGCGGTGGCGGCTCCTGGCGCCTCCCGCCCGACGAGACTCTCCAAGTTGCCGACCCCAAGTCTGCCAAAGAGGAGGTATCATTCATCAATCTGTTTCTCGAAAAAAAAAAAATCGACAACTACTCTTCACGGCTAAATCATTAGAGATAGTATAGAAAAGGATAGTTGCGATTGGGTATCTTTACCCAGGCTCTTGCCTCTCAGCGCATTTAGTGCCAAGTGATTTAAAAAGGTAGGAGTTCAACATAATATAAGAAAAGTTCCCAATTCAATATATTATAATAATATTTGTTTCTTATAATTTCATCGTCAACCAATTGTTGATAGAAGCTAAGCATAGTTTTTGTTAACGACGCCCTTATTTGAATGATATAAGCAAAATTTATCACCATTCCCTATCACCTTAACTTAGTTGAAAATACCAACAAAAGGAATTTATAAATCACGAGATGAATATACAAATGAATATGTAAAGAGACCTTTGCTAAGAACTCCAATATTCCAAGTTCGGTATTTGACTTCCTGTAACTAAATCTACCATTAGTTACCAAACCGAAGTTATAGTCAACCTTGCAGACTATAAATAGCTACGTTCACCTTGACTCTTAAATTGTACCGTGTGCTGTCCCATCCTGAACTTCTATGTTTATATTTCCTATTGATATTTTTGGACCGACTCGTGTTTGATAGTAGGGTGTTTTATTTCGAATATTGTTTCAAAGAATCATGGCAATTAGGGCCAGAATTACCTGATAATAGATTCCGAATTTATGGCTACGCAGCCAACTGGTATAGAGCTACTGATATTTGCTTAGCATCAATATCTAAAGAATTAGTTCCGACGCCCTGATATAAAGGTAGATTTGATATTTTAAGAGACACACAGAAAATAAGAAGATAAGAGTAAAAAAGGACAAAGAAAAATGTTGTTTATTTTAACACGCTTTTATTAGCTTTGTATTTGTGTATGTGTGTATGGGATTTTTTAAAGTCATTTTCACTAACTTCAGGCCTCCGTTTTAAGTATTTAAACTACATATATCATCTGTAAAGAAGAGGTGAGGAGAGAGTGTCCTAATAATACTTGAATGGACTATGCGAAAGAGGATATACGAGAGAAGAGTGTGAGTGTTGAGATGAGGCATGTTAGGCCTGAATGGAAAAAGAGGACACACTACGCGAACCCCGCATAGTGCGATAAGGACAAGAAGAATAAAATATTTCATCTATAATTTATACGAAAAATAATAAGGCCGTATTTAGTTTTACTAAGGGAAGATCTCGCTATGTAACTACAATAGATATATTTTGAAGTGAACGATAGATCGTGGAGCCTAACGTTCTGTTATGAGCATCCGAGCTTGCAAATTGAAATGGTCGTAGTACCGCACCATTGAACTTGACAGCTTTTCATGGAACAGAATCTTATTTCTCGGTCTTTTTTTAGATTTTTGATATCGGTACTTTATTATGTGATATTCACAGGATTCTTTCGGTGGTGAATGAATGTGTTTTTTTTTCATTTCTGAATTTTTTATATGATGTTTAGTAGGATTTGTGTAAAGCTTAAAAAGTAATTGTATCAAACGCATACATTTTGTAAAACCGTTACACAGCTTTTTAATGTACAATGCATAAGTATAAATCAATTTTATTATGAAGTAAATTTTTATATTTACTGACAATCAAAAATATTCTACATTTATATTAAACATATCATTATATTGGTCAAACTTGTCTCGTTTTACAGCCTCGACTGTAATCCAATCGCTACCAAAGAGACTCATCAGACATCCTCCGTCATACAGAATCATCCGCTAGGCTAATCTGAATATTTCCTAATAATTTCATCGAAATCAATCCAGATATTTCCAAGTCTTTTTTTTTTTATTGCTTAGATGGGTGGACGAGCTCACAGCTCACCTGTTGTTAAGTGGTTACTGGAGCCCATAGATATCTACAACGTAAATGCGCCACCCACCTTGAGATATAAGTTCTAAGGTCTCAAGTATAGTTTCAACGGCTGCCCTACCCTTCAAACCGAAACGCATTACTGCTTCACGGCAGAAATAGGCAGGGTGGTGGTACCTACCCGCGCGGACTCACAAGAGGTCCTACCACCAGTAAAAGTCTACAGGGGAAATACATACGTACACACATCGACCTTTAAATATGATAGATTGATACACTAATACCTAGTCTATACTAATATCTAGTACAACTGCTGTTATTACTCTTAACTGTTATTGCAAAGCTTCAACGGTTATATGTGGCTTTCGAATTTATTTTCAGGATCTGTACCAAGGGGATGGCCACAACTGGAGGAGTATAATATTTTCATTAATGGTCATAGGTTTTGTCATAGCCGGTATTGTGACTGCTATTTATTTATTAGGGTAAGTTACTAGAGATAATATATAAAAAAATAAGACATACGTAATCGAAATATTACGTTTAGTAACTTAATGTATTGTAATGGTAAGTGATCGGTGAAACTCACATGCCTATGCGGGAGAGTCAAGATTAACTCTTTTTTTTTTCTACCTAAGCTGATAGCCTTGAGAGACTATTTCAGCGTGACCTTAACTAGTAGGTGAGCTCACGGGGCTCAAACCTGACGATGTTGCTAACACGAACCCTAGCGAGAGCCGTGCCTCGCAGAGTCTACCACCGGATCGGAAACGCGACCCACTGAGAAAATCCGGCGAGAAACTCAGTGGGCTGTGTCTGCGGATTAATTTACTCGTCGAGCCCTTCGTCGCAAGCGAAGGGTTCGACGAGAACGATGACCGTTGTTGAAGCACCTAAAAGCACCCAAGATTAACACTGCCTGACAATAGTCAAGCGAGCTTACGCCGCCCTGGTCTGAAGTAGTCAACCGTCACTCATGGACATATGTGATAGATACCACAGGAACAACTGAGCCGCTGCCTACTGAAGAATAGAAATTGAATTCTAAATACTCTAAAAACGGTGAAGAAAAGCGTTTTTAATATCTACGCTTTTATTAGCTTCAGACGTATATATGTATGTTTGTAACGGAATCTTTGAACATGATTTTGACCCCCTTCAAAACGTCGGATTAACTCTAAATTTGGTATACTTATTAAGGACCGATAACAATTCAATATTTAAAAAGAAATTTGAAAAAAATATTGAAAAATTTAAATTCAACTAAAAAATTAAAAAGAAATAATAGTTTTAATTTAGTTTTAGTTTTAGTTTAAATAACGCTTTTATAGAAATTCCAGCTAAAAAAAGGAAAATAAATTACAAAATTTTAAATTAAAAATAGTGTAAGAAAAAAATTATTTTATTGTAAAAAATTTGTAACAGTAATTGGATTTTCTATAAAAGCTTATTTTGTTAGTTTTTCTAAACTATTATTTATTATTTCAGATATGTAGACGAATTACTATATTGGTCGGGTCGTCGTATGCGTTTGGACGAATTTCTGCGGGGCGATTTGACCGGAGAGCGTTTGCCGACCACCTGGGTGAGCTCTCATCAGCTCGTGTACCAGGCCGACGACGGAGGTCTACTGGCTCTGGACACCTTCAACAACACGCTCACTGTGCTCGTGACGAACCATACATTGGTGTGTACATTATTTGTTCATATTAATGTGACTCGTGAATGATGGTTGTGAATAAGATTTATTAGAGAACTATAATGCTCACGAATTAGAAAGGTGGGTTACTGGTTATTGCAATGAGGAATTTATGGGCCTTTTAGATGAGCTATGCTATTTATTGTATAAACGATTATTGTATAAACGTGCTCACAACTTATTTATCCGTATGCATCGTGACGTGGCCATCGTCACCCACCTGGATACATGAGGTGGAAGTTGAGAGAGAGAGAGAGAGAGAGAGAGAGAGAAAGTATTTTTTATTGTACACCAAAAAACAAATAAACAGTGCGAAACATTAAATACAAAAAAGTACAATTGGCGGTCTTATCGCTAAGAAGTTCCAGTTGTTTTGTAAAAAGAGTGTCCCACCCTTCATATCGAAACCCGATAACTGCTTCGCGCCAGTATCCTACTCACGTGGACCCGCAATATGCCCTATAGCCTATACATATGTGATTGCGCAAATTTATAAACCTTGCGCCGAATTAGCCCGTGTGCCGGTGTTAAGTTTCGACCAACCGATGATTTTCACCAGAAAGTTCTATTTGGCACAATTCTATGATTATATGTTACAAATTATGTTGACAAATTATATGTTTAAGGTCATAAAATCAAACATTACTAACGAACGTCTTCTTTCTGTTCATTTTTATCTAGTGTTCTCGAGTTCAATTCATAAGCTCCTTAATAAAGCTCTCGTCGCGAGCTTTTCATGGAAAATTTAAGAACCTTTATAAATTAATAAAAATGCGACCCGCCGCTCCTCAGCCGCTCTAAGAACATTTTTATCGACGTCGTCACGTAAACATTCTTGTTTACGATTTAATTTCCTCAATATTTAAGAACATCCTTCATGTAAGCGGTAAGAGTAAACCGAAAACGACGATCCTACTACAAAATTTACGGCGACATTCTCGTTTTGCCGTAATGGCGTTATTATGCGAAGCAGCGACCGCTTCTGGAAAATGAAAGTCTCCAATCTCTCTCTTAAACGCTCTTGCATTTCACTAAAAATAGATTTCATCTTTTCAAACGTAATAATTGATTTTTTTTAATATCTTCAACGATTTTTTCCTGCTAATAGTATAATTGCGGAGCTGTTCCGCCAAATCAAAACCATTTTCATTATTTCCGCAGCAAGGTATTATAGTTAAAGAATAATTTGATTTTAATAACTTAATAATTTGCCGTTATTTGTTCAAAACGCGTTGTAACGTAATTTAACATTGTATTAATAATAAGTGTTAATTACCAATAAAAAGTTTTTAAGCTATTGCATAGCTTTTATCACGGGCTATGAGTGCGGCGACTGAATCAAGAAATTCCGTAACGAAAATAACCTGACACCCCCACTACGCCTACTATATAGCTCGCGTTCAACACATTTACACGTTGCGCTGGTGTAGTGTTTGTGAATAAGCGCGTGGCGTGACGTCGCACTGCATGAGCATCATGAAAAGTCTGCCCATCTCTCTCTCACAAGGTCTAGCTTATGAGTGTAAAGGGGACAGTTAATGTTTTGCTTTTGTTAATGTTTTTGAATTTAGCGTGGTCTTATGTTTATTATTGTTTTAATATTAAATTATTATTGTCTAATTATAATTGCATGAGTTGATAAAAAATGCTTTGCAATAGCTTTACCGCGGCAGTCCCCGAGTGCCACACGTGTTTTTTTTATTGCTTATATGGGTGGACGAGCTCACATACCACCTGGTGTTAAGTGATTACTGGAGCCCATAGACATCTACAACGTAAATGCGCCTCCCACCATGATATAAGTTCTAAGGTCTCAATATAGTTACGACGGTTGCCCCGCCCTTCAAACCGAAACGCATTACTGCTTCACGGCAGAAATAGGCAGGGTGGTGGTACCTACCCATGTGGACTCACAAGAGGTCCTACTACCAGTAATTTATTTTCATAGACCCAATAGATTTCTTTCACTTTCTCCTTCATTATATTTTGTGAAGGAGTGACCGATTATAAACCAAAATCTTGATTTAACGATAACATTTATAAAACGAACCGTAGCTTAATATATGAATTCAATGTCTGGAATCTGAGCAGGCTCGCAGGAGTTCAACGTTCACCAATTAAATAAACAAGTATTCTTCTTTAATACTGTACCGCAAAAAAGTCAGATATGCTAATGGACTTTTTAATTTAAAAAAGGAACGATCTTTTTAACTCTCGCGGTAATTGTATTAACATATTTTTTTCAGAGACAACTAAACGTCCGATGGTACCAATGCTCACCGAATTTAAGATACGTACTGTTTCAACACAATATCAAAGAGGTAATATTAAATAAAATACTATTTATTGTAAACCCAAAAATCACAATATCAATTAGCGGTGTTTTGAAAGAAAAACATTTTTCTGGTTTAATTTAAAAATTGTCTTTTATATTTAATAAAACATTGTTACTGATTAAACTTTCGCTTGGTTCCGATCAAGATCCCAACCCAATATAATTGCCAAAGGCGTCTATTGTGCCGTAAAACTTTTAATTCGTTTTCTTTTTCCAAAAAAAAAAAATCAACGGAACTGAGCTGAGAACTTCTCGCTCAATCAGTCTTGATTTCTAAAGGCGTCGCTTTTATCTTTTGTACCGCAGGTTTATCGACGAACGTTTACAGCGTACTATACCGTTTATGACGTTACCAACGAGTGAGTATCTTTGCTATCATATCTTATTTAACTCTTCGAGAGGTTAGGCAGATTTTTCCCAACACTACGCCCTTGAGAATCTTTTCTGTCGCTACTCTGACCTCTACTTATCATCTCCAAACATAAAATAGGAGTCTTATTCCCGATGGCCATTATTTAATTGAATATGCAATTTCGAAAAGGGCACATCTCTGAAAATGTAAAATGTTCAGGAAATGAAAAAAACTGATTATTTTCTAAAGCAGTGTAAAATTTAAAATATTAATTTTTGAGATATATTTTAGTGTTAATTAGCTATTGAAAATTACTGGAATTATTATAAAATGGGTGTGGGTAAGCCTCAAAACTACATGTATATGAAAAAACGTATTTGACAAAATATGCGACATGTGCCCTTTTCGAAATTGCATATTCAATTGTTCTGACTAGAGAATTACTATAGAAATAGTATTTTTTTTTAATTACGCATGAACCTGAAAGTGAATACAACATGTCAGCCTAAAAAACAACAGAGAAACATTATTCACAAAACGTTCACGAAACACCGAACATTTTCAAAGCAATTGACAATAAAACACTAAAAAATCTTTTCTAGGGAAGGGAAAGAGCTTTAAAAGTCAATTTTAAATTGAGCCATATCCCGCAGTTTGCATTCTCTTCGCAATCATATCATTTTGAATTTCCTTTTGCCGGTCGTCTCGTGGGTGAAGAAATCGATTTGGTAGTAGTAGGTAGCTACGCGAATGCGACTTCCAATTTATTTCAAATTTTGCGAGTTGAATTTTAATGTAGCACAATTCGGCAGCAAATACAAATATGACAAATCGGTTTCTTCTTTTTAAATAATATATTGTTGCTGTATCTTGCGTGAACCACACTAAGTTAGTACTATTTTTAGGACTTCAACGTTCAGATTAAATTAATTCTTAGGGAATAATACAATACGAGGAAAATAAGAACTGCATATGTATCTGAAACACCTCAGTTCTTTCACTTTTCTATTCAGTCGTGTCAAAATATGCCTAATCGATAGATTTTATCTGACGATTAAAAAACAGCCCTACAGTCTTAAGATTCCTTTAGTCATAGCTTAGATATAACTAGGTCAACTTACAAAATATTTTACTTTCAATTTATATTTTGTAAATGAACTGTGGCAGGTTGTTTTGAACGACAACATAGTTTGTTATTACATAACGTTACTCAAAAAACATTCATTTTAATTGATTTTTTGTTTTAATAAATTTTAAAAGCTGTCAACACGAAAACGAAATTTCTATCGACTTATTTATTATATTATGCCGATTTTGAATTTTAATTATGTCAGAGTATTTTAAATAATCAAACTATTCCCATAAATTCACAACGAAAACCTTGTATTCTTTATTTCATTTCCTTTTATTTAAATATGTAAGATATCGAAGGGTGAGAGGCTATTTGGTTTAAGCGACATTTTTGCAACATTACAAGAGCGCCATATAAAGTATAATATTTGGAAAAAATATTATAACAAAAAATCTTCTTCAGCTATTTGAATCGAGGAAATTAAATTGAAGTTAATTTTTTTTTTTAAAGACATTCAATTAAAAACATCGAATTGTTGATGCTAATACCAAATAAAACGGATCTTTAATTACAAAGAGAAATGCTGCGTATTCAGCGAAATTTCGCGAAAACCAAATAGCCTTTTACCCCACGATATGATAGACTGCTTCACTGATTAGTTTTCATTACTTAATTATAAACATTATTATTCCCAGTGAATTAGCACTGCGTTTATTTTCATAAAAGGAAATCGGATTTTTGGTTCTCTAGTCACCACATTCCACTGTTCGGAGAGGGACAGAGCAGCTGGGAGTGGCAACACGCGGCGTGGCTCGGTCCCGACGGGTCGCTGCTGCTAGCCGCTGACAACGAGGTGCTCGCAAGGCCCGGACCTCCCGCGCGGAGGGCACCCCTACTACGACTCACCAACGACTCCAGCCCTGGACGCATTTACAATGGAGTCTCAGACTGGTTGTATCAAGGTAACGGCTATTTTTAGTGTATTTAAAAAAGTGTCTTTAGAGTGAAATGTGTGGGGCTCCCGTTATCACCATGCGACTTCCCTCCCTTTTCTCTTCCTTATTGGGGATAATTCTTGGTGGTATTTGGAATATGCGGAACATTTGAAGCCGTTGTGGCCTAAAGGATAAGACGTCCGGTGCATTCGGATCTAGCGATGCACCGATGTTCGAATCCCGCAGGCGGGTACCAATTTTTCTAATAAAATACGTACTCAACAATTGTTCACGATTGACTTCCACGGTGAAGGAATAACATTGTGCAATAAAAATCAAACTCGCAAAATTATAATTTGCGTAATTACTGATGGTAGGACCTCTTGTGAGTCCGCACGGGTAGGTACCACCGCCCCGCTTATTTCTGCCGTGAAGCAGTAATGCGTTTCGGTTTGAAGGGTGGGGGCAGCCGTTGTAACTATACTGAGACCTTAGAACTTATATCTCAAGGTGGGTGGGGCATTTACGTTGTAGATGTCTATGGGCTCCAGCAACCACTTAGCTTCAGGTGGGCTGTGAGCTCGTTCATCCATGTAAGCAATTAAAAAATAGTACATTGTGCACCAAGAGAAAAAAGTAGATGTAGATGAGAGTAAATGAGATGTCCTGCTTTTTTCCCGCGGCGCATAAAAAAACAAATTTTTAACTGTTTTAACTGTTTTTTTATTTTGAAATAAAGTACTACTAATTGAATAAGAATTGTCTGATGAATTGACGAATGACTCATCTTTGTTTAATACTTCACTATAAAATTTTATTGCCTTTTGTTTATTTCACTTTTACATTAAACACAATATTGCAAATTACCCGAGCACAACAATGGCGGAGTATTTTAGGTGCGTAAGAGCAGACGTAGACACTAACGCGCAGGCGCACTTTTCAGTACCCAGGGAGGAAAAGTTACGCTTTCTTCCCTGTATAGTGGGAGGAAAAGTTAGACTTTTTTCCCTGTACAGCGCGGGAGGAAAACCGAACTTTTGGCGGAGGTAGGAGAAAAAAAAACAATATTTCAGAGGAGGTGACAAAGACTTCATCCGCGACATGGGGTTCGATAGACGGCACGCTGGTGATGTACGTGCAGTACGACGACAGCAGCGTGTCCGAGCTCCGGTTCCCGCGCATCGCGGAGGGCATCGGCGGCGCCGGAGCCTCGCGGACCGGCTTCCTGCTGCCCACGCTCAACAACACGCACCACACTGTTTTTCCAGATCATGTTACAATCAGATATCCCACGGTCAGTTATATTTTTACTAGCTCAATAGGGTAGAACATACAATTTATCTAAAAGTAGCTACCGTCATTAATGATCACCAAAGATGGGTTGATCCGAGGCCAGTTTGGCGCCCCCGTAAGGGGACGCGACGACCTGATATTTTTTTTTTTTTTTTTTTTTNGATGAGTGGACGAGCTCACAGCCCACCTGGTGTTAAGTGGTTACTGGAGCCCATAGACATCTACAACGTAAATGCGCCACCCACCTTGAGATATAAGTTCTAAGGTCTCAATTATAGTTACAACGGCTGCCCCACCCTTCAAACCGAAACGCATTACTGCTTCACGGCAGAAATAGGCAGGGTGGTGGTACCTACCCGTGCGGACTCACAAGAGGTCCTACCACCAGTGATAGTAGTAGAATATGATTAACAGTAATGCCATAGCACAAATCTGTGCCTACTCTCAAACTCCACTAATGCCTTAACGCTTAGGGAAGATCATAAAAGGGGCATAGAAATATTCACAATCTCTTGAAGTCGCTTGTTCTAAGTAAAACAAATGAAAGTCACTCTTGTGACTGGTGAAGGTGAAGGCATAAACGAAGACGTACTTCCTCGTTTTTTTCAACTAGAAATACTTTTTTGTTGGTATCTAATTAGATGTTTGTTGGTATACTTTACAGCCTGGCAGTTCAATACCAAAAGTCAAACTATGGATTGTAGCTGTTCTGAATACAACATCACCTCCTCGATGGGAAGTGAAACCTCCGAGTACATTAGATGGAATGTGCGTATATATTTTAAACAGGCTGACCCGGCAGAATTCGTAGTGCCTCAATCGATAAATAAAAGACCTAAACTTTTGTATAAAAGAAACTTAAAACAAATAAAAGGAATCCGTCCGACGGGAAACACATTAAAGGGAAGACAAAATTGTTATTTTTATTTATTTCCGAGCATTTTCATATTTATCTACCTTTTAAACCTTCTCTGGCCACAAATAATTCAATACCAAAATTAGCCAAATCGGTTCAGCCGTTCTCGAGTTTTAGCGAGACTAACGAACAGCAATTCATTTATATATATATAGATAAATAATGCAATAGAGAACCTTTACATTTGGTACATTACTAATTTTAAATTGTATTCTATAATTTCAGGGAATATTACTTCATATCAGCCCAGTGGGTGGGCAAAGAGAATTCTCATGTAGGTGTAGTGTGGATGAACCGTGCACAGAATCTCACTGTTTATAGCAGTTGTTACGCTCCGAATTGGACATGTACAGAGGTACGTATATCGTAGTATTTTCTTCGATTTTTCCGAGCCATTCTTCTGGTCGTTCCTTCAATGCTGAGGATCGTGACTGTATGTCAATATTCTCCACTCGGTCCGGTTCTGCGCCATATGTATCGCTCCCTGTATCTGGCCTCCAATCACCTCCTTGAGTTGGTCCACCCATCTAGCTGGTGCTCTTCCTCTAGCGCGCTTCCCCGTCATTTGTCATTTGTCAATGATCAGTTTCTCCAGACTGTGCAATGGGGATCGCATTATGTGCCCAAAGAAACTTCGAGGATGGAGACATTGGTTCTCATTGGTTTCCGACTCATAAACATAATAAAAATTACTATTACAGTTGAACCTCGTACGATTACTACATATTTACGTTATTGCGATTTTGAACCTATTTATTAACTAGATAATGATTCTATTTTCATTGCAGTCACATTCAGAGAAAGCGACAGATGAGCCTTGGCTAGAAGTCCATCAACAGCCAGTATATTCAGAGGACGGTAGCGCTTTCCTCCTACTAGCTGCAGTTCAAGAGGGTGGAGGACAGTACTATACTCACATCAAGCACGTTGATGTCATACGACAACGTATAGCCGTGCTGTCGCATGGGAAAGTTGAAGTCGCCGAAATCCTGGCGTGGGACCAGGAAAATAATTTAGTTTATTATTTAGGTAAGATTTCACCAGCAATAGTACACATACTATTTTTTCTCCTACCAGGCCGAAAGTTCGACATTGTAAAGAACTTAGCAACCGTGGAGTACCAAGCGAGGGTCCAGGGGCGAAGCCCTGGCGGGAAGTTGACCAGGCGGAGCCTCCCTCATTCATAAAAAAAAACAATTTAACTGTTTTTTTATTTTTAAATAAACTACTACTAATTGAATAAGAATTGTCTGATGAACTCATCTTTGTTTAATACTTCACTATTAATTTTTATTGCCTTTTGTTTATTTCACTTTTACACTAAACACAATATTGCAAATTACCCGAGCACAACGATGGCGGAGAATTTTAGGTGCGTGAGAGCAAACGTAGACACTAACGCGCATGCGCACTTGTCAGTACCCAGGGAGGAAAAGTTACACTTTCTTCCCCGTACAGCGGGAGAAAAAGTTACACTTTCTTCTCTGTACAGCGGGAGGAAAAGTTAGACTTTCTTCCGTGTACAGCGGGAGGAAAACCGAACTTTCGGCGTAGGTAGGAGAAAAAATCATTATTCAACAAGAAATTGATATATTTATATTTTAACTTTCGTATTATGCATATATATTTCGTATTTTCCGTTTCCGGTAGTCGTGTCGTAAACATCGCTGTGTATCTGTTCGTTATTAAAAACATAAAAGTGTATACTTGGAGGTGAAATCCCGCAGGCAAGCTGCATCCCAGTATTAAAGAAAGTGACACTGAGTATTTCTAAACTAAATTCGTGGCACAAAACCTGGAATTAACGATATTGTGAACAAAGCCTGGATATTTAGAGGTTAAAACTTATAAAGATTTTATGTTGGCACTACAGATTTCGTTGTCAAACTGTCTGCTGTCAAATACGAAATTCGATAGTGACAGTTAGTATAGAGTTGCCAAGATATCATTTTGATTATTACCATTACGTTCCATTACACGTATAAATATGGAAGAACAATTTCAACTCTTATTCGATAAAATGAAAATTGAGATGAAAAATCAATCTGAATCCATAACCAATACCATAATGAACAAAATGGATGAGAAATTAAAACCTATTTTAGAGGAAAATAAATACTTAAAACTAAAAGTAGAGAACCTGGAAAAGAAAATCGAAATTTTAGAGAGAGATAAGAAAACTAACAATATAATAATCCATGGATTGACAGAAGACGAGAAATCGACACCCGAGCTTATCGACAAGGTCAAAGATACAATAACAAAAGAATTAGGCATAGCAATCGAAAATTATGAATTCAACAAAATATATCGTATTGGTAAAACAAACAAAGGTAATCCAACAAAGGTAATCCGACCTATACTGATATGCTTGACTACTGGATGGAAAAAAGCGGAAATATTGAAAAATAAGAGAAAGTTAAAAGCCCTGCATATCACGGAAGATTACTCTAAAGAAACCTTAGAAAAACGTAAGGCTTTACTACCACAACTCATGGAAGAACGGAGAAAAGGTAATTTCGCCTATTTAAAATATGATAAACTAATAATTAAAGAAAATAAATACGTCAAGGACTCGAGGAAGAGAGAACTCTCAATTTCACCACAAACAAACTCTCAATCCAAAAAAATTCAACCTTCAACTACAGCCAAGAATAACAGAACGAATGCATTCGATTTGATGAGAGGTCGGTCTAACTCTTTCACAACATTGACGACAGGTCAAAAACAATAGCAACGAGCTATCGACGGACGGAAAAAGGAACTAACACATGAATATAAAAGAAAAACAATAGAAACAAAAACAACTCTCCCAAGCCGATTGGTCTTCGTGGGGGAGAATGACCAACACCCTCTAATGGAAAAGAAGAGATTTTTAGATATACACATAGCCACTTTTAACGCAAGATCATTAAGAACTCCTGAAAAACTTCAAGAACTTGAATTAGCTTTATCAGATATAAAATGGGANCAATTCTACGAAGACCTATAATATCACCGTTAACAATGAAAAAATCGAATATGTGGAAGAGTATGTTTACCTGGGGCAGTTAATATCGCCAAGTGACACTATGCAAAAAGAGATCGATCGGAGAATAGCCAATACTTGGAAGAGATACTGGTCCCTCAGTGAAATAATGAAAAATAAAGATATGCCTATGAAAGACAAACGAAAAGTATTTAATACGTGCATTCTACCATGCCTGATCTATGGATGCCAAACATGGGCATTGACAAAAAAACAATTAAATAAAATAAACATATGTCAGAACAATATAGAAAGAAGTATCACTGGAATTAAGAGAAAAGATAAAATTAGACTAACATACGTAAAAAATATAACAAAATTAAAAAGCGTCGAAAAGGTATATAAAATGCAAAAATGGAGATGGGCAGGACATATGTTAAGAGAGACACAAGAAAAGTGGACAAAGAATGTAACGGAATGGTACCCAAGAGATGGCCATAGAAGTAAAGGCAGAAAAAATCAAAGATGGGAAGATGATTTCAAAAGAATAGCTGGCGGAGAGTGGCTGAGAAAATCAAAGGACAGGACCTTGTGGAAAACATTAGAGGAGGCCTATGTCGAGAGACAAGCTGTTTCCTAGCATTAAAATATATATATATATAATATTTAGATATAAGCATTGTAAATTTTTAACAGCAATAAAGGCTTATTTATTATTTATTTATTTATTATGCATAACTTTATTATTGAAGGTTCCGACCAACAAAGATTCCGCGTACCTAAACTCCATCCTGACATGGTGAAAGAAGAAAATCAATTTAAGTATTGAGTGAAATTGATTTTTCCATTCGATTTGGAATTGTGCTAACCAAGTTGTTATCGTCTTACTAATTAGGTTATGATCAAAATTACATTTATCCCCCAGCACGATTCATGAGAACATATCGTGAAGTGTGTGGTTTTTTTTTTCTCCTTTTTTATTTTATCTTCTGTACGAAAACCCGTTATTAGTTAGAATAATTTGCGGCTAGTTAAAAAGTAATGTCACTTTAACTATCACGCCTTTTGTTCAAAGTTAGGAAATGAAAGCTGAATTGCAATATCTGGATAATTTTAAATTGTAAAGTTCTAAAGGAGGATTCCTATTTTTACTATTTTCATTAATTACAATAACATTTTATGCATTAATGCTGACAACCAATAAACTTTACAAAACACGGTTTTAACTAAAAACGGGTTTTCAATCAATAATAAGATTTCAATCACACGAAAAATCGTTTCGTTTTTATGTACCTAGATTATTTTAATTTTTTCCTTGAAACAGGCAGTGCAGATAGACCTGGTCAGAGACAGGTCTACGTGGTCCGAGACCCTAATTATAGCGGTGGAAGTAACTCGGTGAAAGCTCGAGCAGAAAGGGAAGAGCCGCGTTGCCTTACCTGTGAGCTGGCGGTGTGGCCCGCGCGGTTGCATTACGCCAACTGTTCATTCTGGCGCGCCATTTTCTCGCCGGCTAAGCCGAGAGTGGGGATAACGCATTACGTGCTGGAGTGCAGAGGTCCTGGACCACCGTTAGCGGGGTTACATGATGCTAGGACACATAAGCTAGAAAGAATTTTATATGACACGAGGCCTTATAGGTAACTATGACCTTTTTTTTAGTTCTAATTTCGAACGTATTACTAATAACGTGACATTAGTTAAAGCTGAGTGGATGTAACGTCGGAAATTATATACTGTCAATAAAAAACGCTATATAAAACCGTACAACTAGATTTAATTATACTACAAGGTGTCTCAAAAGAAATGACATATTTAAAACTATAACTTTAAAAAAAATGGAGTTTATTGAAAAAATGTTTATTACATATTAAAATACATTGCTTGGGAATTTATTTTTTTAAAATGACATTGTCCAAATGTAAACCGTTGCGTTTGCGGTATTCGTTTAATCGAGCACTAAAATTGCCTATGACGGCTCGGCATGAGTTCTCCGTGATGGCTGCGCTTTTGTGACGGATATTTTCTTTTAATTGTGCCAGGGAAGTCGGTTTGTTAGCGTAAATTTTGGATTTGACATAACCCCACAGGAAAAAGTCTATAGGTGTAAAATCGGGATTGCGTGGAGGCCAACTTATGTCACCTCTCCTGGAGATCAATTTGCCAGGAAAAATTTGACTCCTCTATATCCTACCTAATACGTAACAACAATAGATTCCTCTCCATTTGACGGACACAGTTATCTAAATGAGAGGATTTAACTGAAATACCAATAAAAAAGCATTGTAAAGAAACTAAATGATGAAATGCATGTACGTACTTCCTTCAGATATTAATTCCACAAACTGTACAAATATGTATGTACGTATACGTATAAACAATGTTAAAATATACTTGTAATAGTTAGTGTATCATCATTTTAGATCAGTTCGATTGCGCGAGTTAGCGTTGCCTACTCGCCGGTCGTTCGAAGTACAGCTGGGCACGGGGTCCAAAGCTCGGGTCCAGCTGCTCCTGCCGCCTTCGTGGCGAGAGGAACTGCGTGATGCTGCCTTTCCGGTGCTTGTTCATGTGTGAGTTAAAAATCAAATAGCAAGCAAGCGTCGATTTTTTTTTTATTGCTTAGATGGGTGGATGAGCTCACAGCCCACCTGGTGTTAAGTGGTTACTGGAGCCCATAGACATCTACGACGTAAATGCGCCACCCACCTTGAGATATAAGTTCTAAGGTATCAAGTATAGTTACAACGGCTGCCCCGCCCTTCAAACCGAAACGCATTACTACTTCACGGCAGAAATAGGTAGGGTGGTGGTACCTACCCGCGCGGAATCACAAGAGGTCCTACCACCAGTTAAAACCAGCTACAAACTCCTTTACAGTCTACTAAGGATATTCTGATTTACAAAAAAATTATTATAACAAAACATGTAGAATAACATTTATGTTTATTGCTTTTCTTAAGCTCATCTACATTACCTATTAGTTTAAATTTCATCGATGTACTTTTGCAATTGAAAACTTTTTAAATACTTTTTTTTAATTTTCTTCTAAGAATTAATACTGTTAGGCCGGTAAAAGTAACGCCATCTATCGCCGAATAGTCGCATACAAATATCGAAGGATCTAGTAACACTTAGAAAGCTCGGGTGATCCATTAACGGTGCTTTTAGGCACCACAAGCACCGGTCACCGTCCTCGTCGAACCCGTCGCTTGCGACGAATGGCTCGAGGAGCGAATTAACCCACAGACACAGCCCACTGGGTTTCTCGCCGGATCTTCTCAGTGGGTCGCGTTTCCGATCCGGTGGTAGATTCTGCGAAGCACTGCTCTTGCTAGGGTCAGTGTTAGCAACTCTCCGGTTGAGCCCCGTGAGCTCACCTACAAACGTTAGGGTGAAGCTGAAATAGCCTCTCAAGGCTATCAGCATAGGTAGGAAAAAAAAAAAGAAAGCACGAGAAGTACAACGCTATCTTTTGCCAGATGACGGAAACAATACTAAAGATGTGTGGAATATTCTCGATAATTCTAGGGATGAGGTATCGACTTAAAAGCTTGCAGGGGTGGCACGCAGTCAGTCAGTAATCGGAACTACTCGAAGCGAAACAGCGAACGTATCAAGTGTTTGTTGGGTGTTTTAAGTGTTGAATACAGTTTTTTAGCTGTACTTTGGTGAAATTTTATTTATACCGAACCCCAGCGCGTAACAATACTTTGGCTTTACTGTCTGTGAATCAAATTTCTTTTATTCTTCAGCGACGGCAGACCGGGTAGCCAGCAAGTGACTGAGGAGTTTGTAGTGGATTGGGGCTCATACATGTCGTCTCGCAACGACGTGGTGTACGTAAAGCTGGACGTGGCGGGTGCGCGCGGTCTACCCAGGGCCCTGCTGCGGGGTCGCCTCGGGGGAGTTGAAGTAGCTGACCAATTGGCTGTTATTAGGTAAACATGAGAACAAATTTAGTCTACTGAATTTCTCGCCGGATCTTCTCAGTGGGTCGCGTTTCCGATCCAGTGGTAGATTCTGCGAAGCACTGCTCTCGCTAGGGTCAGTGTTAGCATCACTCCGGCTTGAGCCCCGTGAGCTCACCTACTAGTTAAGGTTACGCTGAAATAGCCTCTCAAGGCTATCAGCTTAGGTAGGAAAAAAATTTACAACGCTAAATTCTAAGCAACTGCTGGGTTTATATTTATTTTGGATAGAGGTTTTGTTGTTGGTCCAAAGGCCTTCCTAGCTGCGACAAGATTGGTGAGCAACCACGGGGTTCCTTCGAGAAAGAAACTTAATAGCTAAAGCAGATGCTTCTCGACTTAATCTACTACCGGATCAGAATGGCGACTAACTAGATTCCACTGAATCTTTTTGTCACTACAAAATTCGAACTCCAACTATAGGGTTCATATAACCGGAAATTAGCCTGTGCTTTGTGTGTGAATTATGTGGATCTATCAGGTCGTGTCTAGGGTGACCACAGTTGTTGATGTCTTCCCATTTACTAGGTTCTTTCTTGCTACCCTCACATTTCACAAACACCGAGTAGACTGATGACACTGCAGACTAACATTAGGATTTTTTTGTTATTTTTGTTGTTCCAGATATTTGTTAGAAACGTTCAAGTTTTTAGACGTAACTAGAGTTGCTGTATGGGGTTGGGGCTATGGTGGGTACGTGACGGCCATGTTGCTCGGCTCGCAGCAGACCACGCTGAAGTGCGGTATTGCTGTTTCGCCGATCACCGATTGGCTTTATTACAGTAAGTTACAAATAAATTATTTAATTTTCTTCACCTTCCCAATTAAAATTCCATTAACGCCTATCGAAAATTCGATAATATTTGTATTTTAATGGTTTTCTTAGGCCTCAATAACTAAAACACCGTTTTATAGAAGCTCAGAAACATGGGCAGCAGCGCTCTTTGAGTATTAAGATACTAGCGTATTTCGATCGCCAATAGTCTTTAGCTGACGTTAGGGCGTATTATAAGCATGCACAGGTAGGAAAAAACATGCCGCGTATTTCTACTACGAAGGAGTTATAAAATTATGTCAGCTTGAAAGATGGGAACAGCCTTTTTAAATGCAATTGAAACTGCGACCTCATGACTCAAGGTGAGTGGCAACATTTACAGTGTAGGTAGTATGGGCTCCGGTAATCTCTTTTTGGCCGGATGGTACGTTCATTATGCAATGAAAAAAAATTTCACTAAAAATCTCATCCTAATTTATATAACCGTTGTAAAGATATATTTATATTGTGTCCAGATAAGGCTCGCGAACTATATGGATGTGCAAACGTAATAACAAAATATGTTTTACTAATTAATTTCACGAAGTTAATGATTTCATGACTAATCCAGATGCAGCATTCACGGAGCGTATTTTGGGCAAACCGTCCGTGAACTACAAAGGCTACGTAGAGGCGGACGCATCTCAGCGTGCGCACCACGTGCCCGCGCATGCGCTGTACCTCATACACGGCATGGCCGACATGAGCGCTCCCTACCCGCACTCGCTGCAGTTAGCCAGGGCGCTCACTGACGCCGGCGTGCTCTTTAGATATCAGGTGAATATCACTACATAGTATAAAACAAAGTCGCTTTCTCTGTCTCTATATCTGTCCCTATGTATGCTTAAATCTTTAAAACTACGCAACGGATTTTGATGCGGTTTTTTTAATAGATAGAGTGATTGAAGAGGAAGGTTTATATAACATCCATTAAATAGTGGAGAAATCAATAATAAATTACAGTTTCCGAAGCGAAGCGAGGGCGGGTCGCTAGTATTATTATATAACCTAAGGCATTTTCATAAATATTGACAACATCACAAGTTCCACATTCAATAGCCTCGAGCTAAGATTTTATTCTGTATGAGGTAAGCAAACATACATTTGAGCCTTCTTCTACTTTAGTTTTTGGCTCCGGCACGGTTTGTGCATTAGCCAGCGTCAAGTAATAAGATTTTTATAATTCGCCGTTTTAATTATATACAGTTTATGAACAATAAAAAACAAAGGAAACTTAATCAATCGGCATGAAATTAAATAAAACGAGATGAGATGTTATGGGATGAAATATATTATAATCTCAGTAAAATGGTGGTTATTTACTGAGACTTTTTCAGTGGACTTTTGGAGAATCCCGAGAAGTTACGTTCAGCGGCTTTGTTTCATTTTCCCACATTTGTGCACTTTAACAGATACTAAACAGTTAATAAACCATCGTTATTACACATTTAAACCCGAAGAAATACTAAATAGACAAAATAAAACAAATCACACATCTTCACTCCTCGCGTTCCCACCAAAAAGTCTACAGTTGAGTCAATAACACAAAGCATTTCAACTGAAGTCTGAGATTGGCTAAGATTTATAGATTCTATCGCAATGAAGTATTTCCTTTGTGGTGATAGTGGGCGTCGGGACTCATTTAGTGAGTTTAAAACATATAGTTAACTAGCAATAATTGTAAGTTTCTTCAAAACTTTTAAAACTCGATCCAATTAATATATTATTTCCAGGCCTACGCAGACGAAGGGCACGACTTAAAAGGCGTCATCGAGCACGTGTATCGTTCAATGGAAGACTTCCTTCGCGAGTGCCTCTCCCTCGACCCAGAAGACACCAAGTTGCCTCCTCCCGACAGATAGAGAGAGAGATCAATGCCGAAATAAATCAAATTGTTATCATTACTACTCTCTCTCTGTAAATATGTACATTAACATTATAGTGCTTTAATAAAATGTGTTCCCCGTGTTTGGTTGAATGCCAGTGTCTTAAATGACTAGATCGGTGATGTACGAGAAGTGTGATGAGAAAAAAATTAAATAATTAAGTTTATTTAATTATAATGACGGTATCGTACTTTTTGCTTTGAAATTAGAAATTGAATTTGACAAATACTTAAACGATCGAGATATTTCACTTTCAATGTTGATTCATCGTATTTCATAAACTTGCTTAAGCACCACTCGCCTAAAGCTCTTCGGATTCACGGACTGCGAAGCACGTTATCTTATTAAACGTTCTACTTGCATCGGTTCTAAGCTTCTATTGTCATGTTTTATGGACCCAAAACACACACATATGAAACAAGTATACAAGTACACTTAAAAATGTCCAAAAATACTGACTGCGGCCAATAAAAGCCACATCGAAGCTAGTGTAAATTAATGTGGCACAGTCAATATCTATGAACGTTTGAGGAATGTCGGACCACATCTCTCGAAGGCCCAAGGCGTTGACCTCAAGAACCGAAATGTGCGCAATTATTTTTTTATTAATAATTACATCGCCACCAACCACATCAGAAAAGCTATCTTAGGTTCCAGGTTTTTATTTGAAACTACATAGATAATTTTTGGAAATAAATTTAAGTCGACTGCCTTATTGTGCTATCAGACAACAGTCACACAGTTTTTCAAGCTTATATTAGATACTTATCAGAACTATAGTTGTCCAAATCTCCATTTAAATACAAAATTAAAACATTATTCTTCCACAAAACACATTCTTGGAAGTTCTATCTAGTCGAGTACCGATGCTTCAAGTATTCTTAACTTTGAATCAATCTTCACCCTCTTTATAAATTTAGCAAACTGTAGACTTGCTCTCGGTAGGCAGCGAATTGGCTCTGCCCCTGGCATTGCTGAAGTCCATGGGCGACGGTAACCACTCACCACTAACTCACCATCAGGTGGGCCGTATGCTCCTCTGCCTACAAGGGCAATAAAAAAAACTAAAACTAAATGGAACTACTTTTACGGTTAATCTACCCTTGATTATTTTCATTTACAATATCCGACATTTTCATTACTTTACAGTTTTTGTGATCGCAAACGGCTTCGGCCTGTCGTCCTGTAGTATCACGAAGATAAACCGTAAAAGTATTTTTTTAGTTATCTCTACAATTAGCGAAAGCCAAAGAAATACTATGAAAAATAATATTTTGTGGTCACTGCGAATCAATTACAGCTTGGTCTCTTTTATTAAGTGAATGAAATATTAGGAAATCAATTGTTAGACATTACCTAGAGCTATTGCATTTTCAAATGTCTGACTGTCATTTAGCTGCCTACAACTTAAGCCAGGTCTGAAAACAAATATTTTAATTTTAGTAAAATAAAATAATCTTGTTATGACAAATAACTACTTGCAATACCACTGCATAAACAGCAAGCAAAAGGTAACGTGTGAAATAAACACACCTATCATATTCATACCTATTTCTCTTGATGTATCTACCTAACGAATCTATTCAATTTTAAAATTAAGATCACACATACGACACCCCGCCAACGTAGTAACGGTCTCATGATGAATACAAATAAGTATCTACTACTAGTGAATTTGAATTCAATTCAACACAACTCAAAAGGTGTATAACAAAAATTCACTCTGCTCTGAATTCCGAGCTTGTTACGTAAGCTTTTAGAGCACTTTTAACTATTAAGCTTTTCTATTCGACTTATGGTGGTACACACTAGCCTAATTATCCAACTAACTATGAACAAAATCATCGAAATTACATAATGTGACCGATATAATTTCCTTTAATTTTAAACTAGCATTCAAAGAAACTGTACCATTAAAGAGCTTATCGTTTAGGGAATTTAATTACTAGGCCTTTTAAGATTTAGTTCTTGTTACAAATGTTTGAAACGTATTTGTATTAAATAGAATTGTTGTACCGCGGTTTATAGTGTAAATATTATTGTCCTAATCAATTGTAAATTTGATATAGAATCACTTTTTTATAGAAAGTATCATTTAGAAATGAAGTGACCTTGATCATCTCCAAACCTTAGCAGCTTTGGCTCCATTTCATCATCATGTATTTTAATAAGATAGTTTACGTTATTAAATAATAATGTTTTTTTTTTTCTTAAATGTTTTACGTAAATTGAATCCTAGGGTGACGAGAAAGAAGAAATTTCAAACTCATTAACATTTGTGATGAAATTTTATTTAAAACCGGTCTAATTGTTAAATCTAAATACTTCATATAACATTTCGATTAAAACTGAGTTCGTTAATGGAATGTAAGTGTATTATGGTCTTCGATAATTTTATCGTATTTAATTTTTTAATATTTAAGTAATTAAAGTAATATAATCAGTACAAAACTAAAATCAGGCTGATGTAAGAGAAAAATGTTAACTTTTCGATAGTTCAAAGAGTTTATATTACAGCAAAACCATAGTTAATTTATGAGCCATATCCACTCAATTATCGTTGTCTATAATTGCATTGCAATATACTATAAACTACTTAAAACGATCAGTTTCGTTGTCACGTATAGTTATGGATATAAAGAACTTGGAGTTTGTAAATATTCTTCAAATGTGAACTACAAAAGTAAAAGTATAGATAAAGTTACAAACCATAAAAGACTTTGGTTTTATTGAAACATTTTCAAGTGAAACCTAATAATTTTAATGAACGTTGATTATCTCGAAAATAGTAAAAACAAACAATTATTAATTAAATCGATCATTGAGTTACATTAAAATTTTAATACTTAAGAAAACATAAACATTTATAGTTTGGAAATTGATGTATTAATGGAAGGCCGTGAGGTGAAGTGCTAATATGTTAAAAAATATTAGAAATGTTGTTGTTTTGATTATAATTGTGACGTTACTAGATAAATGTTGTTGTATAGAGGTAATCGTCTGCCGATATTCGTTAAGTGTTATCGGATACCTGCATAGACGCATATCGTACATTCCATGTTTGTGAAGACTGCCAATTTGGTCTAAATTTTACAATCATTGTACTAATTAAATACGATACGTCGATGAGTTTAATTTCGATTGCCGTTATGGTCATAAGGATGCTGTGATTATTGTATTGCATAATTTTAATAAGTAAATTATTAAATATTACTACTGAAATTTAATTAATGATTAATGTCTCCATCTGAAAGTAGGGCCTAGTGAAATTGAATGCGTTGTAATTAATAAACTAATTATTGTAAGTTTAAAGTTAATATATTATAGATATTTCAATGATTCTTCCATCATGAGAAATAACAGTATTGCTTCGTTCTCCAAAATTGTTGTAAAACAAATTATATAGACAATATATTATTACGGGCTACTGTAGTACTTACATCACATGAGATATTTAAAAATTTATAGTTAGATAAATTATGAGAGAGTTCGGAAACCGGGTGCTTTAAATTTTACATCACATATATAATATTTATTTCATTAGCGAAACGTTCTCTAGTTACCTATACAAACTTACTAGTGGACGCTGCGTTGTTCTTTGCGCTTTCAAATTAAAATATTCCTAAAGGCTAAGTTAATTACATTAATTATCATATTGAATCGACTAACAGACTAAATTAAATTAACTAACTTAACCTGCTGAATTGTAGCAGACAAAATAAAATTGCGCAAAAAGAAGGAAACAAGGGCGAGTTTATGTATCATATGCGATCTCGTCCAGCCAGAATACTTATAGCGTTATAATATATAAAAGAATTATGAATGGACAACAAAATATAATTTAGCAAAGTTTAATAAAAATAGAAATTTAGACTTTCAAATAAATTTAGTAAATACTTTAAAAAGTATATTCAAATGTACGTTAATGTTTATGACATAAAGCATCTGAATCTCAAAAATTAAGCATCTGAGCCCCAATAGGTTTACTTGGAAGTTCTGCAATTACTTATGTCGCTCTAACTTCTTGCATATTTTTCCACTTCGATAAAGCGGCACGACACGAGAACCCTCTCATCGTGGCCGCCGGTAACTACATTCCCGATCCTGCGGACAGAATGGAAAGCAGTCGACGTCACCCAAAACACGTCATCTCGGATCCTCCCGATCCACTAACGGTGCTTTTAAGTACTTCAAGCACCAGTAATCGCTATCGTCGAACCCGTCGCTTAGGCTGAAGGACTCGATGAGCTAATTAACCCATAAACACAGTCCACTGAGTTTCTCGCCGGATCTTCTCAGTGGGTCACGTTTCCGATCCGGTGGTAGATTCTGCGAAGCACGGCTCTTGCTAGGGTTCGTGTTAGCATCGTCGTCAGGTTTGAGCCCCGTGAGCTCACCTACTAGCCACGGTTACGCTGAAATAGCCTCTCAAAGCTATCAGCTTAGGTAGGAAAAAAAAAGCATATTTATAAATAATTATGAATGAAAAATTTATGCACTAATGACTTTCAAGGTGAAAAAAGAACAATAAATGCTCCACACTCAGTAGCACCAAGCTACAATTTAAAAACCTAGTACATCCGAGCTCAAATTATTTTTTTATCAAAGATTGAATAACTTAGCTATGCAAATGTATATTGCTTTAGGTATTCGAAAATTATTGGTGGAGGTTATGTTAGTCATTATTGCAAGGCAATGACACATCCACCGATCATTGCCCGTGACCGGCCATTTTCACGTTGTGGGCTTCATTCAGTCTATTGGCTGTAGTATATGCTTAAAGCCAAGCGGATCAAGTTCGATTGTCCGTAATAAAACTTATGAAGAGGCAATTCAATCCTACAACCCAAATGCTTAGGTTTATGCAGAAATATATCATTTTATTTTAATGCGCAAAGAGCAACGCAATTAGATCTAAAAAAAAAACTTCCAATCCATCGTATGATCTATTAGTTAAAATGTTAAAAAATCCGAGGATAACACCAATTCGAATCATAATAATGATAATAATGGTAATGTGTAGTATTTTTAATGAAACTAAATCGTCATTTTTGGTACATTGTTGGTAATTTTAGCAAAATGAGATATCGATGTGACGTGGCGGTTCGCAATGCGCTTTTAGTTCACTTTAGTTAAAAAACTAGTCCTTTAGTCTTCCAGCGATAGCTTCCGTATTTTATTCTAACTCTTGAAACAGGAAATTAGGAACTATGTGATGACCATGTCAATTATGTCATTATTCCGGTCCTGTTCAGTTCTGTCCTGTACTAAAAACTGTATAAGCTATATTGTCAAAACTTTCCTCTAGACAGTGTGGTTTTATTTATTAAATATGCTTCTTAGTCCTGCAAACTACGCTGAGCTGTTCTCAAATTTACTGAGAAGAAATCGAGTTAAAATTCAAAGCTGAGACTGCCATCTATTTAAATGCGTGATTATCGATGTTATTAGATACTAGGGTGGCAGTAACAGTTGAATAGACTTCATTTTAAGAACCATGTTAACAATAAACGATTAATATTTAAGATAGTGCATCGTTTATATTTTTTTACACTAAAGTGCAAATTAACAACTTTTAGAATTTCCAGTAATGCGACCTCGGTCGATCTCTTTGGAGGCTTATAATCGAAGAAAACGGATCTAATGGTTTTCTGTTTTTAAAAGTACCTTTGAGAGATGCTTATGTTGATTACCGTAAATTCTGAAAATCAATTCGAAATTCCTTCTCAATTAATCGTTTCATATATCTATAATGGTTATGGCAGCTAAAACGTATTGTATATTCCTCATGTATAACTTACGAAGGTGAAGTACGGATTTATCAGCGTAGTTGTGCTTTACGATTAGAATCACATGGATTGCTCTTTTAGCGGTTAGATTTAGCAAACGGGATACAACAATTGTATCTGTTTTATGCAAATAACACGATGGGCCACGATCAACCCCATCGATGTACCGTCAATAAAAACGCAAATAAATTTGTTGTATCCGGTGATTTATTCGATGGCCCTAGAGAAAGAAATATCTAAATTCTATGTTATGTATTGTTAATGAGTGTTATAAATCTTATCGTCTCTAAGAGTTACAGTGTTGTATAGATTGGTATATTTGATTTGTAAATTCTTATATCATTATGTTAATGTAAATTTTCTTTGGATTAAATAAAATTTTGAAATTTACATAATCGTTCATCTCGACTTTTCATTTGTGGACACGGAAACTATTTTTTTGCGTCGAAAAAGAATAATCCACTAGATCCGCAGTTCCGATCGCTCCATATTTCCGCACTACGGAAATATCTCTCCAAGTGTTCGTTTTTTTCGTTCAGATCGACAGGCCGCGTTGCGGTATTACAATTACTTCCACTAAATGTACCATCTGAATTAGAATTCGCTTGTGATAAATTCCGCATTAGTTCGTAATGCGAGAAGTTCATTGACATTAAAGATATATTGTCTAATCCATGGCTGAATGTGGAAGCGCGACTCGAGTTCATTAAAATATCATTACGATGACGTATTGTAGGACTTCCTGGAGTACTCGCACGGCCCACTCCATTCGATAGTCTACATTTCTTCAGTCTTCCGAATGCCAAGTCCAAGGAGTTAATGGTTTCGTTCAGTAACACGGATTTGCGCTTCACTGGTTCGTTCCTAACAAACTGAGACGGTCCAGTATTATGTGACCTTGCCTTATTGATGAACCTCTTTTCGTTGTTCAAGCTTTGATTCTCCATATCTATTTCGTATAGATACTGTATTGTTAAGTAATAGAGTCGCGTCGCACATTACCAAACGTTAAGTAATGAAGCATGCTTCGTGCAGTATTTAGTACATTTTCGAATTTCAATAAATAATCACCACAAATTTTGGTTTGATGTCAAATGTCAATTTTCCATTGAACTTTAACGATAACTGTCACTGGATACAGTCTGGCGCCATCTAGATTTTTTACTTGCAAACTTCAAAAGGGTACACTAAAGAAATTTTATCTGCACTAAGAGATGGCGCCACATTGGCGCCGGACAACTGCATAATTTAGTACGAAGTGATACTTTATTAATAACAAAAATAGTTTTTAATCAGAATTACATTTAAAGATTATAAACATTATAAACAAAAGTTTAAGGTAACTTTTTATCCCAAATAATCTCCTTGTATAAGTTTAGCAGGTAAGTATGCGTCACAGAGCTCACCACTGGTCGGCGCGAGTGCTTCTATTTCTGCCTTTGTACCGCTAGATAGCATTACTTGTAACTCTTCCCTAATACGACCTCCTGGAATTTTCGTCTTACATTCAACTCGTAATTTTAATTTATCATAATAAAACCTTATTTACCGAACAAAAGAGTTTTAAAATTGAGTTTTTGCGTGATTTAATTTATTAGAAACATTTAAAAAATATTATTTACTTATCAAAATAATTCGAATATTGTATTCACAAGTATTGAAAAATAACATGGAAAACTCACAACCCTACATTTATTTTAGATTAATTACTCACCGTTACTGTTGTCCAAATAAGGTCTTTTCAACAAAGATAATAGTTTTCTTTTATCGCGTTCAGTGAGTGCCAATCGCGCTTCAGTAGGAGCGAGAGTCATGGCGTCATGGTGACGAGCCCCAAGCATTACTATAGAACTACAGGCTAGAGAAGACGAGAGATGCGACTGTGCCTGTTTAGAAAGAAAACAGTATCTACAATATGACAATAATAATTATAATTCGTTGAAAAAAATATTTCTTGTGAAGCCGTTTTTGAAATACAAATCCTTCTAAAGGTTGAATACTTTAATTTAAATTCCCTTCATACTCTTGTAAAAAACTAGGTTTGAATTACCAACAATAACAATTACAAGGCTGTTGGTGGAAACAGCAAAAATATCATGATTTTTTTATTTCGTGTTTCACTTAGTTGAAGTAAATTTATTTATAGATGCGTTTATTTTAATTTTGTATGAGCTAAGGCATAGTACTGGCGGATTACACACAACAAAATAAAAAAAAGCAAATTACACTTTTAACGTAAAGGTTCTGTGGTAAGAAAAGCGGTAAATATTTTTTGGACTTAAAATTATTAGAGTTGCAATGGCTTTTATCATATTATTTAGCATAGCACATGTAGGTACACTGTTGACCTTTTACATTTCACAATGATTTCGTTTAAATAAGATCCGTAGGTATCTGTTTCAAAAAACACTTTTCTTTTCATGCTTACTGTTAATACAGTCAGTTTTGTCTTCTTTTTTTTATTGCTTACATGGGTGGACGAGCTCACAGCCCACCTGGTGTTAAGTGGTTACTGGGGCCCATAGACATTTACAACGTAAGTGCGCCACCCACTTTGAGATATAAGCTCTAAGGTCTCAGTATAGTTACAACGGCTGCCCCACCCTTCAAACCGAAACGCATTACTGCTTTACGGCAGAAATAGGCATGGTGGTGGTACCTACCCGCGCGGACTCACAAGAGATCCTACCACCAGTAAGTAAGTGTCGCACGCCATATAAATTTACATACTTCAATATTTTTACAGATTAATTATTTCAATCTTCAAACATATTAACTAGAAATTTCTATGAAATTCTTACCAATGAACCGTATTTATATGTGAGGAATATCTCATAGCCGTGGGGATCTGCGTCCACAAGAGCCAGGGCCCTCAAACGCAATTCCTTGCATAGACGACACAACAACTGTCTAGTACAAACGTCCGGATAACCCTTACCCTGGTACAATAAATATTTTAAAACGAACACTTTAAACATTGGATTTAATAAGCGCGCAGACCTTCAAAGGAGTATTTTTGCCTACCTAACCGCCAGTTGCCTTGAGGGGCTATTCTGGCTTCGCGTTGGATGTTAGAAGCTCACGAGGCTCAGTTTGAGAGGTTGCTAACATCTATCCTAGCAAGAGCGATGCTTCGTTGAATCTAGCACCAGATCAGAATCGGACCCGCTGAAAAGATCCGGCGAGAAACCGAATGGGTTGATATTATTAGTGGTAGGGAGTAAAAGCTATCTACTATTTTCTGTCTCTTCCGCAAATGATCATCTAAGGTCTATGGGCTCCGGTAAAGCCTTAACAGTTGGAGCGTGGGGTCATCTGCCGCTTTATAGCAATAAAAAGGCGAATTCTAAATCTAATATATAAAATTCTCGTGTCACAGTTTTCGTAGCCATACTCCTCCGAAACGGCTTGACCGATTTTGATGAAATTTTTTGTGCTTATCTGGTATATATGAGAATCGGCCAACATCTATTTTTCATCCCCCTAAATGTTAGGGGTAGTCCACCCCTAAATTTTTTTTTTTAATTTTTAGACAAAATTTTTAATTTCTATTTTTTTATGATACAACATACAAAAATACATACAATCCTCAATTTTCACCCTTCTACGATCAACCCTTATTTTTTATTTGCTAATTAAAAACTTTAAAATTTTTGGGCAAGATTCTCATTTTTATTTTAATTTTATCATGAATTAAAATAAAAAATCTGATGTTACTCTCAATTTTTCATCCCTCTATGATCAACCCCTATTTTTTATTTGTTAATTATAAACTTAAATTTTTTGGGCAAGTTTTTTATTTTGTTTTGCCATGACTTAAAATAAATAAAAACATATTACTCTAAATTTTCACTCTTATACGTTCAACCCCTATTTTTCCATCCCGATTAATATTTTTTTATTCTATGCACAGATCCGCAATAAGGTTGCAAGATGGCAATCAAATATTATAATTGTAGTACGATAAATTCTTATTCAGAGTTTATAATTTCAAGTTCTTTTAATTAAATTCGTTCTTTTTTTAAATTGAATTTGATCTCCCGCCCTCGCCGGTCGACTACTGATCAACTATCAATCGATCAGCTATCCCCGCTAGGTGTCACCACTCATCCAGCAAACATCACGTAGTAGGGATGAGGACGAAGCCGGTCTCCTGTCTTACTTACTCACTATACATCATAGATTATACACTTAATGTATTTGAGAGCATTTACTATACATTTTTCAGCCATGTTTTTTTGGTTTTATTTGTGTATCAATAGTATGTTCAGTAGGTCTGAGAATCGGCTACTATCTGTGCAAGCGGCTCTGCACGCGTTTTACGCAAGAGCATCCGGGTGATGGAAGGCCGGCTATCCTCGACCCACGCTGGTTCTGACCCAGCGGGGTATTTCGTAGGATAACCAATTCAAACCGGCGCCATCTAGGCGGGCTTCGGACAGCCTGCCGACCGAGAGGGCTGGTGGTCGTGGCGCCGACGATCGCTGGCCCGGCGTCCCGAGGGGGAGGGTGATGGGAGAGATGTGCTCCGCACTAAACGCTTCACTCTCCTCCCCTTGCCTTTTCATGAGTTCTGTCTCATGCGAGGGTTGGACGTTGGTTGTTGAGCGACAGGAGGTTTTAGTCGGTTCGACTCCTCGACCCACGCTGGTTCTGACCCAGCGGGGTATTTCGTAGGATAACCAATTCAAACCGGCGCCATCTAGGCGGGCTTCGGACAGCCTGCCGACCGAGAGGGCTGGTGGTCGTGGCGCCGACGATCGCTGGCCCGGCGTCCCGAGGGGGAGGGTGATGGGAGAGATGTGCTCCGCACTAAACGCTTCACTCTCCTCCCCTTGCCTTTTCATGAGTTCTGTCTCATGAGCGACAGGAGGTTTTAGTCGGTTCGACTCCTCGACCCACGCTGGTTCTGACCCAGCGGGGTATTTCGTAGGATAACCAATTCAAACCGGCGCCATCTAGGCGGGCTTCGGACAGCCTGCCGACCGAGAGGGCTGGTGGTCGTGGCGCCGACGATCGCTGGCCCGGCGTCCCGAGGGGGAGGGTGATGGGAGAGATGTGCTCCGCACTAAACGCTTCACTCTCCTCCCCTTGCCTTTACATGAGTTCTGTCTCATGAGCGACAGCAGGTTTTAATCGGTTCGAGTACGGCGATTTCCTCCTGACAAAAAAAAAAAAAACTATCTATTTTTCATACCCCTAAGTGAAAAGGGTTGTCCACCCCAAACATTTATTTTATATTTTAATTTTTTGGATTTTTTTTTGTTTATAATGAGGTATTATGTGGTTAAATGAGGTTTTTTTTCTACAGTAGAATTTCCCTAGAAATCTTATTTAAGGCAACACAACGTTTGCCGGGTCAGCTAGTTATATATATATTTTTGGGTTCCTTTGACCACACCGTAGGATTTATTGCTTTCGCAAAAAAATGGATCGTGCAAAATCAACATGAGAAGCATAAGGTCTGATATACTTCTTCCAATAATCGTTTTTATATGATTTTTTGTAAGTTCTTAGACGCTTGCGGTAGGAATTGACTGGTTTCGTACGAAAATTTATATATATTTATAATAACGAAAATTTATATATATTTATAATAACGAAGCGTTATACCCCTCCAAGCAAATTTTTGTCTCTGTACTATTTATACTTGTATACGAGAGCTTGTGACCATACGAGTATGTAGATCCGAGCAGCCATGATTATTGTACAGTATTTTATTTAGAAACTTTACCCAAGAAACATCAGATGAGTTTGTTTTGACTAAGGATATCTTTTGGATAATAAGGAACTTCGTATCTAATTTTTTATCTATGACATCTACCAACATCACAACTCATTTACCATAATTAGGAAACTATAAATCGTGAATATCCAACCTACCACTCTAATGTCCAATTTGTCCAATCTTAACATTTTATCCATCATTGTCTTCATTTTTTGGGTGTCCTATGTAATCATGACCAGCAAGTCAAATCTATATGTGCGTTTAGATTGACAGTATAAGAAGAACAGTAATTAAACTCTTACCGTAAGTATAATAACAGGACCTAGCCTGATCAAAGCTCCTTCATCGAGTAGCTTTTGAAATATGGCATCCTTCTCCACAACCAAAATGTACTTCGCTGTCGACTGAAATTCTATTATTCCGTTCACGTCTTGCGGAATTAGGACCCCTGAGCAACAAAAGTATTTATCTGTCTTAATGACTGTTTTTAATTCGCAATAGAAGAGCTCGTGAGCTCCCGTTCCACTTGGTATTAAGTGGAAGAGGCCATAGACGATACCGTCGCCACATCAAAGCAGTACGAAGTAGAAAACTCAATAGTAATTCGAATACTTACTGGTGGTAGGACCTCTTGTGAGTCCGCACGGGTAGGTACCACCGCCCCGCCTATTTCTGCCGTGAAGCAGTAATGCGTTTCGGTTTGAAGGGTGGGGCAGCCGTTGTGACAATACTGAGACCTTAGAACTATATCTCAAGGTGTGTGGCGAATTTACGTTGTAGATGTCTATGGGCTCCTGTAACCACTTAACACCAGGTGGGCTGTGAGCTCGTCCACACATCTAAGCAATAAATAAATAAATAAAAAGAAGAATATCCTACGCTTGAACTTCAAATATTCAAAAATATTAATATTGAAGTTTAAACTAAAAATTAAAATGTACATTTAAACTTCAAAATAACGAACGACGCCAATGGGATAACCGATTGTAGCTGTACAAAATCTCAAATCAATTTAATTAATAATGGGCAAACATAAAACATGAACAAAGAAAAAACCGTCATTTCAGTGGAAAAAACTTAAGATATGATACCTAACTGTTAAATGGTTCTAAAAATTCTAACCTAAACCTTTGAGGCCAAATTATTAAAGCATACTCACCGCCTGAAGCCATGCAGTCTGTCTGAAATCCATCCCTATGTTTTATAGTAAGAGGTCCAGCTATCAAGCCTTTAGCAGTTGCTACAATACCGAGATTCCATGGCGGAGTGTCCAACAAACAACAAACATCTCTGACTGCGACATCAAGGTTCGCTTGATTGCGCAGTCTTATCACATTTTGATAGAATAATTCCCTATAAATTAGATGAGTGAAATTAAATTTTTGATCTAGACAAATTTTATTACTTAAATTTTTAATTGATAACTGAATACAAGCCAGTCATCTGTCTTATAAACTGTGTCTTAAGATCGTATTGCGAACGTGTCATTTCAAATTATTAGTATATTTTCCGATTTTATATTTATATATATATATTTTCGTATGTATATTGTATACATATTGTATGATGTATATTTTCGTTGCATTAAAAATACAGTCTATTTTGTTGCAGAATTTAATTATAATTCTAATTTATTTACATCTTAATAAAACAGAAAGACTTATTATTAAATCTTGGCTCAAAAACGCAGCTTTGATGAGGTCTAAATTCTAGGTGTATTAGATCTGACTATAAGACGACATTATGTCTATTTAACTTCATTTGTAGATAATGTAAAATCTGATAAATCACTTTTAAAGGTCAAAAGTAGCATTGATATTTACCTTCTAGTTACTGTTAGGTTTTTAATTAACAATTCGTGTACTTTAGTCAATACAAACACGATCGTGTTAAATCTAGTTTTGTCTTCTGAGCTAGAGTAAGTTATTGTTGATGTCTTTGCTTCATTGAAACATTTTAATGTCACTCTAAAATAAAATTACAAACTTTACTTTTAATGTGATACAGACTTAATCAAATTATAAATCATCGTTGCAGTCACAAAACCACCGCGTGAGTAAATCGGCTTTTTAACTTTTGTGTAACTTATACATTTTTAGTCACTTCCACTTTCAATAATTTAATCATTTAATTCGCTATGCAATAGTAGAAAGCATGTATTATATATTCTTAAAACCTATGTATATATTCGATTTTATAAGCGAACAAGCGTTCCTACTTCGATAAGAGGTTTTAGATTCTAAGCCAGAGCCAGATCTAGTGTGTCTGAATCTTTTGAATCATCTAACAATACTATCCTTGATATTCTAAGCTAAGTGGACCCGAAGTAAGGGTTTAATGGAACTAATGAATAGCCTCGCAAAATATAGGTATTGTGTGGTTAAGAATGCTTAGCTCCATTTACCGGTCTAAATCATAAACACAATTACTCCAAAGTCTTTGATTCCTGATAACTAGTTTTGGTACATTCCCATTTTCAGCGTCCTCGTTGATTGCGTTTAGAATTTCTTCGACCTTTTTAATTAAAGATTTTCGAATGGAATGTTTTTCGTTTAACTTAATATCGAGGCTCTGAAACGCTAAATAAACAGAAGTCGTTGAAGTCGTTGTGGCCTAAGGGATAAGACGTCCGGTGCATTCGTGTTGAGCGATGCACCGGTGTTAGAATCTCAGGCGGATACAAATTTTTCTAATGAAATACGTACTCAACAAATGTTCACGATTGACTTCCGCGGTGAAGGAATAGCATCGTGTAATAAAAATCAAACCCGCAAAATTATAATTTGCGTAATTACTGGTGGTAGGACCTCTTGTGAGTCTGCGCGGGTAGGTACCACCACCCCACCTATTTCTGCCGTGAAGCAGTAATGCGTTTTGGCTTGAAGGGCGGGGCAGCCGTTGTAAATATACTGAGACCTTAGAACTTATATCTCAAGGTGGGTGGCGCATTTACGTTGTAGATGTCTATGGGCTTCAGTAACCACTTAACACCAGGTGGGCTGTGAGCTCGTCCACCCACCTAAGCAATAAAAAAATAAAAAAATTACAGAATTTCATCATAATTTAAGAATCTTTAGCTTTTAATACTAGACAAATCATTATTAACAAGTACACCTTTATTCTCGCAGCATCCTTTCAGCATTTGCTGCACTTCAGAGAATCCTAATTTACGTTCAGGTAATGTTAGCACATTTTTATTTTCAGTCATATCGCATCTTCCATCGACTGCTAATTTATCAATCGCCGCTATCAACTTCAAATCTTGTTTAAAAGAGAAGACCGGATTCAATGCCAAGTCTCTCAACATCGGTACTTGTTTATGAATTAGCTCCATCCTGCGAAGGAATCCTATAACTGACATTGAAAACGAAAATAATCGACAAACCAACCGAAAAGGTCTCTATTAAAATAAATCACCGGTAAAAGTGACGATGATCCTTACCTACCTAGTGGCGAGATGTTTATCAACCGCAAACAATAACAGCGTCACAAAACAGAGCTCGTAAAGGGGCCACGAGACAATGGGACAGCTTCTTGAGCGTTTTTATGGCGAAGTCGAGCGAACAAGCGAACGGGACAAAATCATCGTCGGTGGCGCATCCCATGAAAAAAATTACAATAGATTTAATCGAGAGATAGACATGGCAGGCGTCTCGAGGAGCAGATGACACGGTGTGACGACCTCACAAAGGGCGTGAAATGACGTCATAATAGCCTCGAATTATCGCCCCCTCTTGTCTCAGGGCAAATATTTAACAGGAGCCCGGTTTTTGTTCTCGTTCTTCGGCAGGAGATAATAAATAACAGGGTTACAGTAGACAAATGACGCGGACCGTTACCGCAGCGCTTTGTTATACGTGACATATTGCAACGACTCGATGTTTATGTCTTATTAATTTTATTATAATGGATGCGAACATCAATTAAACATATTTTGACTTTCAGGTTTTGACATTTTAGAAGCCTTGTGGAATAATATTGTTATAACATACAGGAAAAATCTGGCGCGGATCATTTCCCAACTAAATATGATCATAATCAATCAAATGTAATCAAATTTTAGTTATAGAAAAATGTACGTTGTTCGTATGCGTGTTTCAGTTGCATTTACCTCGAGAAAAATCCCTTTTCAGAGCCGCAAAAGCTATCAGTTAAATATTATAAATACTAGCTATTTAATTACTTTTTTCTAATAAGTTTTCTAATAGATATTAAAAAATATGTTACTTAGACACAAAGTATTATTCTGGATTCCATATTTCTTAAAATTACTCATTGTTTTTTACTTTTCTAATTGCAATACGTTGTCTACTATTGCGTTGTCGATTGTACATATAATTGATGTGACCTCTGTGATGTACTTAGTGTAAATTTTTCAATGTTTTGTGTTGTTTTTTTCCTACCTGTGCTGATAGCCTTGAGAGGATATTTCAGCTTTGCCCTAACATGTAGGTGATCTCACGGGGCTCAAACCGGAAGTGTTGCTAACACTGACCCTAGCAAGAGCAGTGCTTCGCAGAATCTACCACCGGATCGGAAACGCGACCTACTTAGAAGATCCGGCGAGAAACTCAGTGCGCTGTGGCTATGGGTTAATTAGCTCGTCGAGTCCTTCAGCCCAAGCGACAGGTTCGACGAAGACGGTGACCGGTGCTTGTGGTACCTAAAAGCACCGGTCAATAGACATGGGAAAACGGGATCAGCTTACGTAGCTCATTTATAGTCTACCTAATGTTTTATGAGAGCAATACAAAATATTCCTAAAATATATCTATACTTAATGGTTCAGGGAAAAATTTGTTAACAAAACGATAACATATTTTACTATTCCAATAGTCTTCTATTTCGGTTAAGTTTTTTATTTATATGCTTTACTATGATTTAACATTTTGCGTGTTGTCGGTAAGCTCAATAACTTTAATATTTTAGTGTTTATAGAGACTAATGAGAGCCTTATTTTTATTAAGGCGATTCCCACTCTGTATAATATTGAAGTATTCACAGGTGGCAGAGCGTAAACGGATATGTCCCACCATCTTACCCATTTCTTAAAAATAACCGTGTTACCGATGTGTAGGATGGATCACTGTTAAATTATACAAATCCAATTCCGACTGAGGTCGTGTGAGTACTGAGGTGTGAGCACCTCAAAGTCGGCGACGGTATTCACGTTATGACGTCTATGGGTTCCGGTAACCACTTAACACCAGGTGAGTTCGTGCTTCCTCCGTCCTCCGTCCGTGCATCTATACAATAAAATACTTACGATTAATATATACCAGCAAAGTATTGGGCATGAAAATGTATTTTAAAATACGAACAGATGAAGTCATAGAAAGATTACCGCAGCCCTTACACAGTTAATTTGACTTGGTTAAAGGAGTTATATAGATCAATAATTACAACATAAGTACATTGCTTTGAACTTCCAGCCTTCAAAACTGGACGCGTAATATATTTATTTTCAGTAATTAACAAATCGAAGATAAATTTAGAACTAGGCATAGGAAAACCTAAGTGTGAGAAAATATCAATTGGAAAGAGTTCCCATTGCCATAACTGCGACTCCCTAAGGCGCGTCGATAGCATCAGCGGGTGACAGCCCGCACAAATACCATACAAATTGCACGATGACTCCTTCAAATTTATTGTTGCAATTATTCCAACCCTTTCGCGATTCTACGACCACGGGGAGGTGAGAAAGCACTTATCTATCGACTCGATCGAAACGACCCAACTCTTTGACGATGGTGTGAAGAAACAATTCTTGGGTCGCCGCGGGCTACACCCGGTTATTCGCCATATTTTTTTTTTGTCACGATCGCAGGAGATTTTTATCAATCTGATAACAATAGAATTGCCTATGATTTACAGTTAGTAAAAGCGCTTTGTAAACTACGTCTTACTTTTGCAATTAATTTTTTAATAAATTATAGAAAACCATAAATAGTAAATGTCAACCAATAAAACTTTAATATTTTAAAAGCTACGATTAAAATCGATATAAGCGATTTTGTTCATTTTTATGGGCGTAAGATTGCTTTAATATCTCTGGACTCTACTATAAAACAAATTTTGTTTGGTCCTTTTAAATACTAAAACATGTAAAAACATCGATTTGATTTTAAAATCGTCAGCTTCCCACAATAATGTCGTGCTCTCAACTGGCCAGCGAAGCGTCACTAAATACAACAGTTATAAAAATATGTAACAGTGTTTTCTCATTGTGCGGACCGAAGTGGTTGCAGTCGCGAGCCACAGGGCGCCGGACCACAATGGGCCACCATTGCGTTATCTCGATGGACGATACGTTGCCGCCTAATTGACTGCTCAAATGTTATTTTAATATTTTGTTATTGAATTCCGATTTCGAAATAAAATAATAGGTGATATTTCAACGATTATCTTTTTATACATTCTCGAAAAAGCGCTTAAAATTACTACTTTTAATAACATTTGAGTCATTCGGGACCGTGAAAACTGTAAACTAATCGAAATGTGAGAAACAATAAAATTAACATATTATACGCCAAATTAGCTTGTAGAAATAGATTTAGTTATGTCTAGAATTAACGAAAATTTATGAATATGTATTCACTAATAGGTATTTTTACAAAGACCTGGATGTTGTGATCTTAAAGAATGTAATTTCAAATATTTTGTAAATGACAAATCCCAGCCCATTTTTAAACTCTAGTATCAAGGTAGGTGGTGGAGTTTACATGGTTGATGTTCATGTGCGGTTACAACTTAACACTAGGGGGGCTGTGAGCTCGTCCACCCATCTTAGAAATAAATAAAAAAAACGACCATAAAAAATATATCTCATATTAAAAATCACTTAAACTGTTCATTGCTTTGTAGCTGGAATCGCAACAGTTTCTCACATTCGAGTGGCTACTTTTCGTATTGTTCAAAAACAATACCACAATTGCGACCAAGAACTATTCGAATATTTTATACATATTATTTGCTTCAAAGAAGTCTCAATTGCTGGGGGCTCGTTTAACGCATACTATTTATTGTTCGCATTCAATTTGTAAGTTATCGTCTTGTGAATTAGCCAGTGAGACCTTCGCAAATTATGTTAGAAGTGGAAGAGACGCGATTTAAAAAAAGACAGTTGAAAATACGGCTATAAATCGGTACATAGTAAGAATAGTTACATTTTTCTGATACAAGAAAGGCGAAGGTATCACACCATACAGCTTAATTATTTAAAACAGGTCGTAACTATGTCTGTAGAACGAAACAGGAAATACAGCAGAATAAATTTAATTATGAAATGAAATCAATGAAATTTCATGGAATTTAATGAGATATGAGCAAAATATCTTCCAAAAAAATTGTATTAATTGACTAAAAGGTCAATGGATTTTTTGTAAAAACTCGAGAAGCCTCGACTACCAAGCGTTCCCACCAAAAAGCGTATCGTAATCTAGTTATCTTAAATGTCAGCTTGTATGATTTCACTATAATCTTATTAATACTTATTTATTAGAGCCTTACGCATAAACAAATTAGCATTCACACCTGTCTACAGAAATCTTAATGAGAATACATTTACATGTTTTGCTTTACAAACAAGACTACCTACTGTCCAGGTGGCTACCCCGTGTGCTTGTCGCTTATGTTTATACCTAGTTTTTTGCGTTATGATTGTTTAAATAGCCTGACATGGGAAGGTGAATTAATGAAATGTATTTTAGGATTTACGCAAACCAGTTTATGAACGTTTAATTGAAATGAGATATTAATCAAAATTAACTTGTAGCGAAGAAATATTAGCGAAAATATATTTTTCTTATTTAAGAAAAAAAATATTAATGTTTTTTTTTATCGGGCAACTGCACAATTTGCTATTGTTTTTAAGAATTTGGAATACCATTTTTTTTTTATCCGACAAAGAATTAAAATTCCCAGCAGTCCCTTAATAGCAATATAATAATATTTTATATCTGGCAATGATAATGATACAAAGTACGATTGTTTTGTTATTTTTTTTTTTTTATAACAAAACCGTTTTAATTACAAGCGATTATGACAATATTTCCATTCAATAATTACCCTTAAATGAGTTGTGCGTTTCGTCGCCAATTCGTTTGTATTAAACAAAAGGGTTGAAAGCACTTCAGGGCTATTGTTTTTCGACAATAAATCTAGTGTATTACAATTACGCAGCTTAAAGCGTGACAGTAGCTTTGTGATATGTAAATGTGAACCGGATTGAAGAGTGAAGAGGGGTGGGAACCGAGAACCCACAGTATTGTGGAGCGACGGGACACCACTTAAAAAATGATATCAAAGGCCTAATAAACTAAAAAAACTATTTAA